AGTAGTTGCTGCTGCTGCTGTTGTAGTTGTAGTTGTAGTTGTAGTTGTAGTTGCAGTTGTAGTTGTAGTTGTAGTTGTAGTTGTAGTTGTAGTTGTAGTTGTAGTTGTAGTTGTAGTTGTTGTTGTTGTTGCTGTTGCTGTTGCTGTTGCTGTTGTTGTTGTTGTTGGTTGTTGTTGTTGTTACTGTTGTTGTTGTAAAGGTAGATTTCCCGCCCTGAATATAAACACCCGGTTTTCCCTGAAACAAGTTTAAATTTTAGCGGGTCAGTTTTGGCATCCTCCCATTGCCCAGCGCTTTGTTCTAAACCCTTGCCCTTGGGCAGGCCGCAGACCCTTCAGTCTTTCGCTTCTGCGTTTGTTTTAACCGGCAGTTCCGGGCAGTGACTACAGTCCTACGTTCCTGGGGCACTGCTGCCTGCAATTCCTGCAGTTAACTCAGCTCATACGTTCTAGCAAGCACTCACTCTTGCAATCGGAACATTTCGGATGCTGGGATAGTCTCTAAAGGAAACCTTAAAAAGGAGACAACTCAACTCACACGTTCTAGCACACACTCGCTCTTGCAATCGCAAAGTTCGGGATGATGGGATATGACTTAAAAAAAATCCGCGACAAAGACAGAGAGAGAGAGAGAGAGAGTCAGTGAGTGAGTGAGCTTCGATACAGTTACATGTCCCAACTCCAACTCTCCCCTGGAAGGACTCCTAGGGTCTCCCTACTAACCCCCTTAGTGGTTGAAGCCTGAACCCCTGCATCAGGCAAAACCTTTGCGCCAATCCTGTGCACACCTCTGGTCTTGCCCCGGAGGTGCGACGAGGGTTTCGCATTCTTGAGTCCTGTAGAGTTGCTCAGCAGCCACAGTGCACGTTCATCATCTTCGACTACGGTTGCTTCCCATAGCTTGCTGTGTATGTCCAATAGCATCCGACATCTTCCAGTCTAGGCAAGACGTTACAACTATTTTTGATGCTATGCCCCACACCCCAAAGCGGGGAATCTTTATTGTTTTTGTCATGGTTAATTTGCAGCAGCTAGCAAGTGGCTCGCAACGTCCCGCTAGGGTTTCGAACTGGGTGTCCTTATCCCAAAGTACGGGATCTCTGTTGGAGCCCGTATCTTAGGAGAAAAGCCCAAAGCCCTTAAACCTCACAAGCCACACACCCCAAACCTTATGTATGAATATGCTGTGTATCTCTATATATACACATATATATGTATATGTCTCTGTGTGTGTATATATATATATTTGTATGTATAGGTATTTATATGTAAAAAAAAATATATATATATACACACACACACCTCATGATCCCCAAGCCCTACAGCCCCGGCCGCAGTCGGTGCAAGGTGGCTGCCTTGCACGGAAGGCTCACCGCCATCCGTGCGGAGGTGGCGCGGGTACTGCAGGCCCCTCTTTAGTGCTGCGTCTTCGTACAGTTGCAGATTGTTGCAAAAAGTGAGCTACTCCCATAGGCCCCTAAGTAGTTCCTTTTTATGGTCGATATTTAGAATCCTATAAGGTAATCCCCAAAAAGGAACTTCTTAGGGCCCTATGGGTAGACATGCAGATCTGGAACAAGACAGACTACGCATCCCCCAACCCTCAAGCTCAGAAACTCGCACAAAGACGCAAGGCCGAAGCTTCAAAGCCTCACAAGCGAGCATTTGGATTCCAATAACAAGAAAGCCCCTAACCCCCGAGGTACCTACTATATAGGGTACTATAGCCCCTAGGGCCCTATATAGTGGGTACCTGGAGGGTTTGGGAGCCCTCCCCGAGCTCTTGGCTAGCTGTTCAGAAGCGCAGCTCACCCCTGGGACCTGATGCTTGGGTTAGTCTTGCGTTGGAGCGTGTCGTGCCTTCGTGTTCACATCACATGTGCGTCTAGAAAAAGTGTATGCATATGTCTGTGAGGTTCTTTGATTGTGTCTCTAGAAACGATGTATGTGCATATCTATGAGTGTCTATGTGTTGGTACACAGACAGCGGGAGGGTGACGGCGAATGCTACATGCACGTGTATGAAACAGTCAGACAGAGAGAGAAAGAGAGACAGAGAGAGAGAGAGTGTGTGTGTATGTCTCTGTGTGTGTGTGTATCTGTGTTTACTACTCATAGTACATGTAGTTGTACGTACTTCAGGTGTCAATGTGCTTGCATGTGTGTATCTACATACGTATCAATAAATAAGTAAACCAAATAAAAAATAAATGCATAACTAAAAAACACACATGTTTTCACATCTATGCCACGACCGCCAGTATGCATGTGAGTCTCTCTCTCTCTCTCTATATATATATATACACACATACATACATACATACATACATACATACATACATACATACATACATACATACATGCACACATGCATACAGATTATACACACAGACATACATTCGTACACACACACACATGCATATGCACACATTGCTTATTTGCACACACTCGCGCGAACGAACGAAGGTGCTCTACCTCAGCCCCACACACAGAGGTTGCACCACCTCAGGTTTGAAGGTTCGGCTTTGATCCAGCCGAGCTAGAGGATGATGGCAACTACCCATAGGCCCTTAAGTAGTTCCTTTTTGGGATTACATTTTTTGGCAATTATAAGGTTCTAAATATAAACCATAAAAAGTAACTACTTAGGGGCCCATTGAGTAATGGTACAAGTGGTACAAGTATTGAAACCGTGTGGAAGCTATCACCCTGGGAGCCTATGAGCCTTGACGATGGCAGGAGTCGCAAAATTGCGATGCTTCGGCTGAGCCCGTGCTCCAGGCTTCCTTGCAGATCCCTAGGGATCTCTGAAGGGAATCCACAGGGCCTCTGGCTTTTTTTTTATTTGGAGCTTGGAAGAGAGGTGAAAGTGTTACCGGGTTGGGAGGTGGCTGCCGAAGATGATCAGCCCAGGTCTAGCTTTGAGGAACGGGGCGGGGCGGCAAGGGCTCAGATCACACGTACTTCGGCGATGCTTCGGGCAGCCCGCCCCTTGGCACGCTCCGGCATGGTGAGCCATGGCAATCTTGGAGCTCTGCAACGCCTGGGCCTGCAAGTAGTGCAGTCGAACCCTGCGGTGCTTTGCGGCCCAGCCCTGCAGCTTCAGCGAGGTCTTAGCACCGGCGGGGACAGAGTGAAGCTTTCGGAAGGTCCCGGGAGCGGCCCCGACCCTGGGTCGCTTGCCGGCTTTCAGTTCTGGGTTGAAGGGGTCTTAGATGGTTCTAGGGAATCACAGGGCAACTCGTGGTTCTAGGGAATCAGGCCGATTTTTGTTGCAGATTCCGAGGTTGTAGATGTGTCGGCACGCCAAGGTCTGCTCCGTGGCAGACGCCTGCCACCCTGTTCTTGGAGAGCCTGTCGGTGCCGTTCCAGCGACACGCCGTGTCCAAAGAAGACATGCGTGAAGGAGAATCCGTCACACAGTCTTTCGCAAGACAGGTGGGACTCAAAGATGATTCAGTGATGGTAAAAACCATGGTGTTCGACATCGATAAAGCTGCTTCACAACAACCTATCTTCGTGCTTCAACACGGGAACAAGAAGGTCGATACCAAGCGGTTGGCTATGGCTGCAGGTGTCAAGCGTGACCACGTGAAGCCCACGAAGCCTGAGCGCGCGACATCTTTCACTGGCTATGTCTTTGGAGGAACCACCGCTTTCGGCAGCAAAACGCAGCTACAGATCTACATTGAGAGTTCGATATTCAGTTTGGAGACAGTGTACGTAAATGGTGGAAGCACCAATCTGTGCCTCTCCATGAGTGGTGCCAACTTCGAACATGCTCTCGGCTGCATGCCCGCACGACGTCGAGCTTGCTGTAGTCTTCCAGACTACTGGAATCTACTTGTCGTAGGGTAGGGATCATATTGTTAGGGTTTAGGGTTTTCGGCTTAGGGTTGAGGTTTGGACCTGCCTACAGGTTCTCGGAATCTGAACAACTAGCGCTAGGCAACAGTATGTAACTGTATGCCGGCCCTGATATTTCCGAGTCCCCCTATTTTATGCTTGGGAGAGTTTAGTTACACACACCCGGGCACTAGAGTGTGTTCTTTCTGGGCTGCTACAAGGGCTACTTTAAGATTTAAGAGGCACTATGAGGGGTACTATCGGGAATCCTGGGTAGACAGCATGCAAAAGCACTTGCAGAGCCGTTCCACCGGAGCATGAACGTTCAGCTCACAACATGAAGGTTTCTGAAAGCTATCATAGTCTGCTTGCCACCGCCCTCTCAGGTGAGTGCATCCCGGTGGAGGTGGCTGGCAGCTAACTCTACCGAGCGACCCCTTCGTGCCAGGATCAGCCCGAGGTCCCCTTATGATTGAGCTTCTCTCCGAATGGTCTGCCCTCTATGCATCCGCTTCACTTCCTTCGCAACCTTTCCGCCGACGCCTTATCAACATCAAGCGGTTGCCGACGCCGTGGAGGCTTCCAGATGGAAGAAACCAGGAGTGAGCTTCGCATATTCCTGTTGCCACGAGCTAGCAGCAGCTGGATTCGAAAAGAGTGCCACTGCACAACCATCGCCATGTAGGTAATACGTAGAGTCATAAGTACCCTAAACGGTATCCTACATGGGGTTATGATACTTGTAAGTCCAGAAAATAGCTACCTGCGCAAGTTGCCGCATCGGAGGCCCATCTGTCTTCAACTGCGCAGGATCGTATAGTGAAACCCTCACGATGCATCGGGTTGTCGCTTGCTCTGTATATTACATCCATTCATCCTTGCTCCTTTCGTCTCCATCCATGCATGCATGCATGTCCATATGATTTAGAGACAACCAACGACTGGCTGGACAAAACTCCCAAAGTTGACAGAGAGTGCTTATGTCTATAGCCCTACGTTTCTTAGACTCACTACATAGCCCCAACCGCCTGAACCCTAAGCCCCATCGCAGCCGTCTGCTAGAGCTGTGGTAGTTGGGACTAAACCTGTCCCAAACCTGCGAAACCACAACAAGGTCTCAGGCATCAGGTTTAGACATGAACGTTTTCGGGGCTTAAGATACCCATGGGCCCCTAAGTAGTTCCTTTCTGGGATTACCTTATAGGATTCTAAATATAAACCATAAAATGAACTGCTTAGGGGCCTATGGGTAGTCCCATATCATCATCGAGAGAAGGGTTGACGCTTTCGAGAGTTGCTGGCAGTTTGAGGGTTAGTGCCCTAGAAGCTCAAAAACATGCTCAGCTCCATGCAATTGGTGGCTTTCCCTTATTTAGGGGTCCTTCTGGTAAGGATCATACATACTCTTTCGGGGTTCTTGATTGGGGTGCCCTAAACCCAAACCCTAAACCCTGTAACCCTAAACCCTAAACCGCTCATTTTGCTGCCAGACTCAGCTCCGCGTGCTTCTCTCCGAGCTCAGCGATGTGCTGCAGCAGCAGACATGGCAGGGCTGCGGGCAGGTTGGTTTTAGGGTCTAGGGTTTAGGGTGTTATCCTTTCAAAAGCAAGGGGGTTGCTCGAGCCCCTGTTGTCACATATTGAGGGGAGACTCTCCCGCCTGCCCATAGCAAACTTCAGAGGCGGGGGGGGCTTGGAATGAGAGCATCTCGGCTTTCGATGTGTCTGTCCATCGTCGCTTCCTCGGTAGGGCCGTACCCTGCCACCCGCATTGGCAAATAATGCTGCGAAGCAATACCACAGGTCCCCAAAAGCCGTGCAAGAGTGTTGCTTTAAGGTTGATCACAGGATCTTGTTACCCCTCGTGAAGTCACGTTAGCCTGCTACGTGAGCATCGACTTGGGCAAATCTTGAATAGGCGTCTTCCACTTCACGAGTTCACGAAAATAGCAAGTCTTTGTACACTTTGTCCACACAATTACATCGACGAAACCTTACTGTAAATCATATGATTGCAAGGACCTCTAAACCTATGCCCCAACTCTTTGCCAACATGCAGAAGTAGGCAACTATTATTTGCTCTTCTTAGGTGCGCTGTGCGGCGGCTGCTGTCGCGCAAGCAGCTGCTGGAGGCGAGAGCGCTGAATTCCATGGATCGGAGGTTTGGGGTTTCGGGTTTGGGGTTTACCTGAATCCCAAAAGACCTGCCTTTTGAAGGGTTTGTATAAGGAAATCATATTAAGGGTGGGTTTCTTGGGGTCCAGGTAGGGTTTGGAGTTTAGGGATGATAGGGTTGCCACCATTAAATAGGCATGGGAATGCTTCCGGAGCATTCTCCGGCTTGGCTCTCTTGCTTCCTGACCATGGTCAGCCGGACTTCCAAAGAGGATGGTTTGGTTAGGGTTGGTTTGGATTTGGGGGGTATCCGTAGCGCATGACATGGAAATCCCAACCTCACTGGCTCACGGTGCCAAGGCCCTAAACCCAAAGCCCTCGCCCCCTAAACCCTAAACCCGAAACCCTAACCCTAAGCTTTAAACCCCATAAATCCTAAACCCTTTAGCCTAAACCCTTTCATCATGAAGGATGGCGGACTAAGCCCTCGGCTGCTAAGTGAGCCTCTTTCAATCCCAAAGGCTCCAAAGTACCTATAGAGTAGAATGCAGGGTTTCTATATTCGGCAGCTTAGTTTATGAATTCTTATTATGATTTGATGAAAGTATCCCCCCAAACAGTACCGAGAAGACCTAGAACCCTTGTGGTATGGACCTCTACTAAGACCTCGAACACTAAGCCACAACTCCAGTCTGTGCCTTTGTTGGTTTAGGTACGCCAAGAGAAGTCCCGATTTTTCAACCCGCACTTGCCCTAAACCCGAAACCTCAAAGCCTAAACCCTAAACCTCAAGCCATGAACCCCAAACCCTAAACCCTGAACCTCAAACCCTAAACCCCAAGCCCCTTAGCCCGAAACCTCAAACCAGAAACCCCAAACCCTAAAGCCCGAAACCTCAAACCCTAAACCCCAAGCCCCTTAACCCTCAATTCCTAAACCCCTAAACCCCAAGCCCTAAACCCTAAACCCCAAACCCTAAACCCCGAAACCCCTCAACCCTAAGCCACCCAACGCTGCGGGGCTCTGGAGGCGGCCCGCCCCGGCATAGCGCTTTGCCAAGGCAGCGGTGGCAGGCGGAGCCCCTCGCAGAGGCCGCCGTTTTGGGATGGGACTTTTTTAGGGTCTAGTTTTTTGGGTGTAGGGTTTCGGTAGGGGTTTAGGGTTTGAGGGTTTAGGAGTTTAGGGTGTATATAGGGTTTAGGGTTTTAGGGTTTACGGTTTAGGGTTTTAGGGTTTAGGGTGTTGTGTTTGGGGGGGCTTTCAGTGTGGGGATCAGTGTTGAGTGCCTTACGGTTTTTGTGGGCAGCTTGTTGGTCAGTTCGGGCTTTCAGTTCAGATTCAAGGTGCTGCACAGAAGCGATCGGGATTCCTGAAACTAGACATCATTTGCAGGTTGTTTTGGAGGTCAGTTTTTGCAAACGGCCAGGACTAGGGCGGCCATCGTGTCCATAGGAGTGCCAACGGAAAGCTTGAATTCGTAGTTTGAGAATCAAGCTTTTCGTGCAATGCCAAGAAGTTTCACCAACAAATAGAGCAGCGATTCTCGGTGCCTTGTTGCTGCTACGCAGCGGAACCCTTGTGACCCAGTCGAGTATCGAGTGGTGTCCAGGCCAGCCCTTTTTTCCCCAATGCACGGCCAAAAAACCTCAGCGATAAACGCCGAAGCGTGTTTGAAAAGGTTTGAATGCTGCCATAACCCTAACCCCAAACCCTAAACCCTAAGGTGTTGAATACTTTACTAGGCATGGAAGGCCCCGATTGGCCCTGCCACAATCCACGAAAGCATGTCACGTGCTGCTGCCATGATCCACAAGAGTAGATCACCGGAGATGTATGGACCTCCAAAGGCAGCTGAGCCCTGGAGGTGGCGCCTAAAGTCCGATGGGTCTTCCGAAGGTTTGGGTGGTCTTCGGACTCGGACTCCATCGGCATCTGATGCTGGGTTGCTGTTCAGGAACTTAACTTAAGTTACTATAAAAAGGAAACCCTATCATTTACTCTCTCTCTCTCTCTCTATCTATCTATCTATCTATCTATCTATATATATAATTAATACATATATATTTTTCCCATTGTGGTAACCCAGGATGGCCGGGACCATCCCATGGTCTACGGTTCGTCAGGGCTCAGTTGGCTCCGCTGGCTGGCAGCCCGAGCCTATGGAGTGCCCCGATGTTTGGAAGAATGTAGAGGCATGTAGAAGCCTACCTATAGTCTCCATTGTAGTTCCTTTTTGGGGTTACCTTTTAGGATCCTTAATATAGAATTGGTTAAACCAAAAAAAGGAACTACAATGGAGACTATAGATATTTAAGAAGTGCCTACATGGTTAGGGCTCCGGATTACTACGCCTAGTCTTTTTTCTTATATCTTATAGTAACTACTCTGCGATCGAGTCTACCAATGGAGGTCCCTATAGTATCTCCTTTGCCCTATTTCGTGAAGTGATGCTTCAAGTGCCCGGAATTGTCCAGGAGCTGGCATCTGAACATCTTGGTTCATGCGTTCCCTTGAAGGTGTCCAATTGAGGGTTTCAGTTTGAGTCGGAAAAAGTGCGAGCAATTAGCAACACACCTTCGGGTCCCGGGTTCCTTGTTGTGATGCTACACCACAACCCCCTTCCTGACCCCGTGGAGGGCTCAAAGCCTAAACCCTAAACCCTAATCCCCTAAACCCTAATCCCCTAAACCCTAAACCCCTAAACCCTAAAACCCTAAGCCCTACTCCCCTAAACCCCTGTTGTCTGGCGGCCTGAAAGGTTTCTAAGCGACCTTCACTCGAACCCCTTCGTCTTTCCCTTCGAGGAGTGCTTCCCACCGGAGAGCCCTGCGACCTTTGTTCGGTGCTGCAACGCAAGGTGGGGGGGGGAGCACCGTTCTCCCCTAAAAGCTAAACCCCCCAACACCCGGCTAAAAGGCTTTTTTTTAAAGGCCGAACACCCTCAACCCCATAACATCCCAAAACCAAATTAATTCCGGAGCCCAAGGTGGCGCCACCAGCTTCCGAATCAAGACTGCTGGGGAAGACCATTCCTCCCAGGGGCCCAAGCCAAATATTTACAACGCCTGCATGGGCTAAACGACATGAACCTTTCTGCGGAGACCGGTGACTTACGTTTCGAGGCTGGCCAGATTTTGAAGGAGGTAAGCAGATACTGTCCGGATGGTGAATGCCACGAGCAACACTGGCCCTACGACAGCTTGCCGTTCCTGCAACAACTGCGCATGGCACACCTGCAGGCCCTTGGAAGATTGCGTGAAGTGGAGCCTGGAGAGCCACAGAAGAGCGGCAGGCTTGAGTATCCAAGTCCATCAGAGTTCAAGAGGTGGCTTAGCTGGAAGAACAGGAGCCTGACGAATCCCATGGATTGCTGCGGGCTGGAAGTAGAGACTCAGAAACCACCGAAACTCTTTCCAACGCCCTTTTTGGACGAGTACTATGAACAGAAGTGGCCTCCGGCGTTGACGGCGAAGAACCGGGTCGGTCGAGATCTCTTCTCATGCCAGAGCGTGTTGTCTGAAGTTTCATTGCACGAGCTGGTGGTTCTGTACATCCGCGCGGGGTCACCTGCTTACATCTTGCGCGAACGAAAGGCTTTACCCCCCAGGGCCCATGCCCGATATTTGAAGTGGAGTGAGAGATGCGCACATCACTACAGCACGTCTGATCGCCCCCAGTTTTGGACGCAAAGTCTGCTTAGCTTCAAGCCTGATGCTGGTCAGGCAGAGCCGCAACAAGATCCGCTGTTTATGGACATACTGCCTGCGGACAGTGCTACTTTTCCGGAGGGGCGGGCAGCATCCAAGCGCTTCGGGGTTCTTGCCAGCTGCGCCCATCGGACTCGGAAGAACTGTCGCTTGGCAGTGGGCCTTTGGCAATGCTACAGAGAAAGGCATTCAAACGACACAGAGATCTGGTATCGGGAACAAACTGCCGATTTTCACAGCGAGACGGATCTCAGGTGCAGCTCAGGGGCCCGTGTCAGAGATTTGGCGAGGCAGTGTGGGACGGGACTGGACTGCGAAGGGGCAGGACAGAGTTCCTTTCACTACTGGCGCACGTCCTTCAACGCACTGACATTTAGCAGCATGTGCATGCTCCATCATGATGCTTTACTTGACAACAAGCGCACAAAAGTTCGTGTGGGTGCGGACGTTTTCGGACGGTATGAATGGCACCTGCTTGTGGACGGAGGAGATGTTAGCATCGGACCAGGTTGCTTTGGCGAAAGCCTCTCAACAATTATCTCCATGGCCCCACTTGAAGCGGAGATAATTATAAAAGATCCGAGCGACTTGGAAGATAGCAACGGAGGAGTGGTTCTCGTACGTCGCTCGCCTTTGGGCAAGTTATTCCTAGACCTAATGCTAGACAAGACCAGCTGGCCGCTACAGCTCATTGGAAGTGGCTGCTATTGTGACCAACCCAGTATGAACGAAGCGATTCTGGAGATAGTTGCATGGGAGACAGGCGCGGAGTACAACTCAGACTGCTTGCCACACTTATTTGTTGAGCCCAACGAAGACGGCAACTTTGGGTGCCACTACATGACCCATCTGCTTTGCTTCAAGACAAACCTGCGACGCATGACAGGACCATTCGGAAATCGCAGCACTCGCAAGATCTACTTCCTGCCGCCTCACCGGGCAGCAGACATAAACTTCCGGCCGTCTGGCAATGTGCCGGATCGAGCGACAGAGGGCAACTTAGCCCACTTCCACTGGAGGCCATTTATATGGCATTGGAACAGCTATCAATCGAAGCATCCGGTTATGCTGAAGCACCATGCAATCGAAGAGAATGCTCACATGACCTTGCCGCCGTGCCTGGGGCCAGACTTGTCAGCTAAAGTTATCACTCAAGCGCTTCTTTCGTTAAGTGCTTGCCCGACAAACCGTAAGACTGTTTTTGGTCGAACACCGTTGAATACGTGGCATCTGACAATTGTAGCTGCTAGGAACGGTGAGCATACAAACGAACAACAATGTGCAAATCGTCGCACCATCGCCGTCATCATGAACATCATCATCATCATCATCAAAACCATCATCAGTTTCGTCGCCATCATGCTTGTCAGCGCTATGACAGAAAACACCACCATCATGCTCACCGTAAGCACTAGCACTCCACCAGTGGTTAGTGTTGGTTTCAATATGAGCATCGCCATCGACATCATTGCTTTCATCGTTATTCATTATGAGGACGCTGCTGGTCACCATGCTGTTAATGATCACGAGCAGGACACTGACAGTGAAGCAGATGCACATGCGTCAGTAACATGTGGTTGCTGTCCAGGTATCCATCTGTCGAAGACCGATCAGATCCTTCGATCTGGCATGCTTTCTCACGACTACAGTCACAGTGGTGCCAGCAACATCTTGCCGAGCATCCGCGTCGATGTTCTTTTCGGTCTGCATCGAGAGTATGTAGCCAATGGCAGCCTGGAGGACTGCCATTCTGTTAGTTAGCGCATCCAAGAAAATGCCTTTTTGTTGCCGGCGGCGACGAAACTGACATAGATAGTCGCCAAGCTGCCGTAGTCGCCACGCGCACCAGTCGCGCACCAGTTCCCGCAATGTGGAAAACCACGATCTTGTGTGATACTGTGCACTCGGCACTTTTGCACAGCACTGAATAAACGGTCGTCTTCCATCTTGTTGAGCCAGGTGCAAAGCAACCCGCCTACAGGGACTGCAACTCCGGAGCTGCGAGCCGCAGGCGGGAATGAAGCGAGCCCAGAAGTATGCCCTGTCCCAAGCAACACGGTTTCGGAGCTTGGAACCGGCGAGCGAAGAAACCTTCGATGTTAATTAGAAGGCAGCCACAGTAGCAGAAGCGGTAGCAGCAGCCGAGCCGTAGCAGTAGCAGTAGCGGTGGGAGTAGTCCTGGTAGTAGTTGTGATGATTGTAGTAGTACTAGTAGTAGTAGT